AGGTGCATTGTTTGGAAAGGGTGCATGGTTTGGCCTCAACCATTTCGTCCACACCCCTTCATGGTCTATAAATAGGACCCTTTAGGTGTCCTATTCCTCACAGTTGATATGCAAAAACGTCTCTCATCCTCTCTTCTATCCAAAATCAAAATCATTTCATTTATTTTGATTTTCTTTCATTTCATCTGTGGAGTACATAAGCCTACATTTGGTTCGTTGTACTTGTGTTTTGGAGTGCTACAAACACAAGTGTAGCCGTTGTATCTTGGGAGTCGATTGCCGAAATCCGTAGGCACGTTGCGAGGCAAATTCGACTTAAGGACAAAGAGTCCAACTCTTGCCTCGGCTTTGTCACCATCATTATACTTATTTCGGCGTCACTATTCACAAAATTCATCCAACAATCTTAAGTCGAATTCCTATATATATTTTGTAAAAGTGACATTTTTGTTTGGTTAAACTTGTTAAGTTTAACTTCTTCTTCACTTCTATTTTTGGTTGATCTTCTATTTTACGTAAACAGAAATGAATACGGTTCTTAATACCGATGCTACTTCGAATGAAACTTCGAACATGGGAACTTCTGAAGGAAGTGTTCCTACCGGTGTGATTCCTCCCGTTGTGAATACAACTACTACTCCGGTTGTGGGTGCCCCTACTATCGTACATTCAAACTCCGTTTCACATGGGGAAAAGCCGGAGAAATTTGTTGGGGTTGATTTCAAAAGGTGGCAGCAGAAAATGTTGTTTTATCTCACAACCCTCAACTTAGCGAAATTCTTGAATGAAGATCCTCCCGCCATACAAGAAGGGGAAAACAATAGGGCATCTTTGATTGCTTTGGATGCATGGAAACATTCGAATTTTCTATGCAAAAATTACATTCTTAATGGCTTGGACAACGCCTTATACGGTGTATATTGCTACAAGAAATCTGCAAAGGAACTATGGTAGTCCTTGGAAAAGAAGTACAAGACTGAAGATGCCGGAATCAAGAAGTTCATTGTGGGAAAATTCTTGGACTACAAAATGGTAGATTCGAAGACCGTCATCAGTCAAGTGCAAGAATTGCAAGTCATACTCCATGACATTCATGCGGAAAATATGTCCGTGAGCGAATCATTTCAAGTGGCTGTAATTATCGAGAAACTTCCACCCATGTGGAGGGACTTCAAAAACTATCTCAAGCACAAGCGCAAGGAGATGAACATTGAAGAACTTGTGGTCCGATTGAGGATTGAAGAAGACAACCGAAGTTTGGAAAAATGAGTTGGGGATAGCATACCACAAGCAAAGGCAAATGTGGTAGAATCTAGTAACAACAAAGGAAAGAAGAGAAAGCATTCCGTTGAATCTACAAAGAAGAATGCAAAGAAGTTCAAGGGCAATTGCTACAATTGTGGAAAGGCTGGACATCGCTCGGTTGATTGTCGCAAACCTAAGAAGCAATCCCAAGCCAACATTGTCGAATCTGATGCCATATCAAATGGCATGTCCGATATGAATTTATCGGCAGTTGTTTCTGAATGCAACCTTGTTGGAAATCCCATGGAATGGTGGGTTGATACGGGTGCAACCCGTCACATTTGTGCCGATAGAGGAATGTTCGCATCATACACTCCAACTGAGGGAGAAAAATTGTTTATGGGGGACTCCTCAACATCCAAAGTGGAAGGACAAGGCAAAGTGGTCTTAAAGATGACGTCGGGAAAAGAACTTAGCCTCAATAATGTCCTTCACGTACCGGATATTCGCAAGAACCTTGTGTCGGGTTCTTTGTTAAGCAAGAATGGCTTTAAACTAGTCTTTGTATCGGATAAGTTTGTACTTACCAAAAATGATATGTATGTAGGCAAAGGCTATGTAAAAGATGGACTATTCAAAATGAATGTCCTAACTGTTGTGTCAAATGCTACAATCAATAAAACGTCATCTTCAGTTTATATTCTTGAGTCATGTAATCTATGGCATCATAGATTAGGACATGCAAACTTTAATTCAATACGAAAGTTAATGAATTTAAGTTTACTTCCAAATATGCATTTTAATAATGGAAAATGCGAAACATGTGTAGAGGCAAAAGCGGCCAAAACACCATTTCATTCTGTTGAACGAAACACCACACCATTAGAACTAATTCACACGGATGTGTGTGATTTGAAGTTCGTACAAATAAGGGGTGGTAAAAAGTACTTCATCACATTCATAGATGATTGTATAAGGTACTGTTATGTGTACTTGTTGAAAAGCAAAGATGAAGCTTTGGAAGTGTTTAAATACTACAAAAATGAAGTTGAAAATC